TATATATATATATATATATATATATATATATACATAATGATACGATTTGACCACCATGGACCACCGGTTGGGCATACTAGCCTTATGCAGTTCGCGACGTTTCGTTCGCTATGCTGTTTCCCTATTTTCCACCGTTTTTCCCCTTCAGTACGCACACATCTTACTGCACTTCGTTGATGTTTTTGAAGTTATTTTCGTTGTACTGTGTTGTATCTGTATTTCATGCATATACTTACAGATAACCCGTCTTAACACTCAAGACACCTCATAATATAAGGCCTACAATAATGTTAGAAGTGATTGTCCGATCATTGTTGCACTGAGCAGACTGAATAATGGCCAGCATTAGGTAGCTATATATGTGACCTAGGTGGGTCTCATTAGTGGTGCGGACCACCAAGCAACCTTTCACGTAAACTTAGGGTATCCGTTTTTCCCACCTGATTCGATAAGTACTGACGAGCAGTTTGGCGTGGTGATGGTTTTACAACTGTCCGTCCTGTTCACCCTTCGGTATTACTCCATCGGATTTCCTTGTGTACAGGGCGTTGAGTTGATTACACATGCGGTTCGGCGTGGGGACCTTAGGCCTTTTCCTGTCTGAAAGGGTAACATGGGAACGGAGACTACTCCGCTGTGCCACATTTCTTCCCACTGAAATAATATTATAATTCACCCACTGTATCATTTACTAACGGAGAATTCCGTTTCTGTGTACCTCCTTCAGATGATTGCACTGTAGAGGCATACGAGCAGCTTTGTTTCAAAAGATCTTGACTCTATCTCAGTGGCATGTTTTTCCCAAAGATCCTCTTCCTCACGAATAGCGTTGCATAGGGATATATGCAGCATGTCTGTTCGCCGGCCCCTTATGCACTTGGTTTTTCTTGTATCAAGATTTCCCAGTCCACCTCTGTTGTGTGTGAATAGTTCCGTAAACGTGGGTTATTCTGTTCTTTCAGCACTGGATTAATGGCCAATTTACGATGCGTCTTTAGAAACAATCGAGTTAACAGTTTTTCTCTGTCTGCTTCCTAGCTACACAGTTGCTCCTCCAATGCGTCATCTCCGGGATATGCAACATCTTCAACCAGTTGCTACGCTGGTTTGTACGGCTACACTGAATCTGCACTCAGTAGTTCTATGCCACCAGTCCATGTGCTAGGAATGTCGGCTGTGAGAGTTCCTCATGGTCCTACCAACTTTCATGCACCCATAGTCCATCAACGTGAACGCGATACCTTCCATGGTTTGTCACACAGTCGAAGTGCTCAGGATGCCAGCAGCTTCCTATATCAGCCACTTTCTCCGGTCCCCACCGGACAGCACTCTTCTAGCAGGTTCGGAACTCATCTCACACCGAATCCACTCCCCTTGCATCCGACCGTCTCGGGAGTCAATGCGTACAGCTCCAGTGGCTCAGCTGCTTATCCTTCATATCCATCGCCTATTCCCGGTTATGCACAGCCAAATATGTCACCTTCAATTCAGAAATCCAGCCGCGTTGCACCAACCCCACCCTCCTCGCTCAGGCTGAGCACTAACACTAGCCCTTCGGGTCCGAGTCCTTCGGCAACATCGCATTCAGCGCGAAAGGCATTTATCCCAAACAGCACTTCTTGGGGCTGTACGGAAGTATGGCCTCAGGGCTTTACACAAAATCCTCCTCCGGTTACATGTACCAACCATTTTACCCCAGCATCACCGGCTACTTCATGCAATTGTACTAAAATTAGTCCTGGAGATGGTGGGGGGCCACATTCACTTCTGCAACCTTCGAGCTCCGGTGAGTAGCTTGCAATGCTAAAAATCCGTTACTATGTGTATATTGAGTTGATCATCCTCACACGTACATTTTTTATCTCCGAGAGCAACATATTGCTGCGCTAAGCTTCATACAAATTTTCCAGTATCAGGCTCTTTGAATGAGCTGTTTGTTGTAAAATCCGCATTTGCCTTTTTCTAGTAACAAGCTTCAGTTTGCACGTATCTGGATAATTGATTGATTGGTTTTACAGTGCAAGTTATCTTTCTACAGCGGTGGGTGTGGCAGATTTTGGAAAAATTCGGCCACATGGATCTCCCGCCTTTATTGCAGTTCAGTTAATCGGCGTGAATGTTCGACCGGGTAATCACAGTTTGGACTTGGTAACCACCTTTCTAAACTTTGTATCAGGTTTGCCACTCAGCTGTTTGTTTCAGGTAGCTCCAGAGCGTCTGGCTCAGATCCCGTTAGGTTCCAAAGTTTTTCACACACAACGCATTCATAATCACAAGGAATCGTAGCTGTCTTCTAAACATATTAAATTCGGTGGGCCATTTTAGAAGACAAACTAAACAGTGTTATGTTTTATCCAATATTTTATGACACCTTACATCTCATCAACACAGCTGACAAGTGCTTGGAATGCTGTCTCTCTTCTTATGCAGGGGATGGATGTCTATGGGCCATCGCCACCAGTTTTTCCACGAGCTTTCACCAGGTTTAAGCTACTTTGTGGTTGTTTTTCACTTTTGTGAACGAAAACCTGGAGTTGTTGGATGGAATATTGTACCAGGAAAACAATTGAAACAAGGGCACTCTGGATTATCGGCTGTGCTCCACATGCCAGAGGACCATCTGCCTCGCAGGACTCTTTTCGCCTCGCCCTGTGCTGAGTGGAAGTGAATTGGAGGTTGGCAGTGTATGACCCCCGGCAACGAAATGTGAAAACAGCAATCAGTAAACTAAGTCGGGCCGACAACTGCCGCCTCCGTGGGTGGGGACTCAATTCACTGGCAATACACTGGCAAAAATAGCCCAATCGCGCAGTCCTTGGCGCTCGTGCGTCAATGCTATCACCTCCACTACGTAGTCACCCAGCTCCCGAACTAAATGAACATATCTTCACCCCCAAGGCTTGGCCATATGTCTCACTCTCCCAAATTCGGTGGTGGAAACTGCAGTAGCTAGAACCAGTGTGCCTTTGGTGCATGGTTTGTAGCTGGTAAATTGACTGATTGATTATGGACGGTTACTTTCCATTTTCTTAGCTTATTAGGTCCCCGAGCCCGGTTGAGTCCTTATTGCTTGTCCTGGTTGAAGGCTGAGACAGGCTAAGAGTAACCGTAATGGAATGTTTTTTTGTACGGTGATTTCCGTATACAAAATCCATTCAGCTGGCCTTTCAAAATGGTTTCGTTGTACGATGGTTCTTTAGAAAGGGGAATTGACCTTATCGGATACACCCAGGGCTGTTTAGCGTTCAGTCTCTATTACTCGACCAATGTGGCCTTTGTGGGTGAACAGGGCCGCCCGAAACGAAGTGATTTTTAGGTCCTAGTCGTTCAGTTGATATCGGAAGCCGATGGACGTAATTTGACCCTTTTGTCTAAGCATTTGGTCCAGTCTTTCGGCACCATTGCATTTCCGACTGTCTAGGGACAAGGGGTGGTATTCACAGAACAACTCCGGTACTCACTGCCGATCGGTACTAGGCAAGCGTAGCTCGGCACATCTGAAATAGATAAGGATGTCTTCCTCGTCTAATGTTCGCCGCGAAATAAGCGGTGTTCTCTCCCCTGTAGTTGTCAGCATGCTCGTGTGATCCCAAACGTAGCATACTACTCGTAAGCTTGCTGAAAACTTTTCGACATCCTGTGACCTGTCTCGCTCTTGGGGTTCATCAGTTGGGCGCAGTCCCCGACTCCCTTTAAACACCATATTCTAGTTGGATGTTATTGCTTGTATTCGGATAGTTTGTGTGGCTAAAATGTTTCACGGTAGTCCTTGGTTGCATTCGTTAATTTTTGTCTGGCATTCTTTTTCATCATTTCACTTTAAAAGGGAATCATTGTATCGCCTTTCTATGTGCTAGCTTTTCCTTCTAGCATACTCCCTAATTATTGTGTCGGCTTTTTTCAGAACCGTACAAAAGGTCGCCAGATCTACCCGATTCACCTGTCCAAGGTTCGCTGACCCCAACACATTCTGAATTGAAGGGCTCTCCTCTGAATGTGCAATCTGTTGATACTCCGGCCCGACGCGCTTCTGGACCTTTACCTCCTCCGTTACCACCCCGTTCGAACTCGCGCAACCAATTGGGTCCTCAATGTGGTGTTATTTCACGCCCTGGCTTGTGCACCTCTGTGACGACGAGTGAAACATTGGCGAACAACAGTCCCACCACCTTGATCGATTGTATGGCACGTACATCAACGTCCATTAAAGATTCCATAAGGTACAACACTCCGAAATGCTACTGCGAAATTTGACATTCCCAAATCGAAATATACTGGACAGCAGTATTATGACTTCGATGTAATTTAGAGGTGATTTCCGTGCAAGAGTTACTTAACGTTCCGAATCAGAGTCTAGAGTCGGCTTAATGCTGACGTTTGCTTTCGTGGTTTCAAATACGTTGAGTTCGAAATCCATTCACTGAACAGGATGAACTAGTGCATCCAGTTCTACCAAAAACAACAGTTTGGATTATATCACATTTCCAGTGTGCTGAAGAGTAAAGGCTTGGCCGTAAATCCCCTTTTTAATATTCGGGTAGTAAAGCATTATCTGACGTATAAGCGTCTTCAAGATGAGCAGGATGTACCTGACTGTGTAAGACAAATTAAAAGCTGGTCTCGAAGTCTACTGTTGCGATTAACTACGCTTGCAACTTCCAGGTGTTCGTAGCTCAAAAGCCTTGTATGTCTTAGTTTTGTCTGTTTACGAAAATGTTACCCTTTCCCTTGTAGCCCTCTGTTTTTTTCTGACAACACCTCTCGGGGTAGGTTAGCCTCACTATGCAAAATGCACCGACCTGTTTGTACTTCAGTCCAAGACAGTATTCACTAGGTAGGTGATCGGTGCATTGTGTTATCTTGTTCGATGTTTCAGAATTTGCATCTCCATAACAATACGTTGTACGACGTTCAAGTTCTTTGCTGCCTAGTGAATAAGAACAATCCAGTAATTTGTCACTAATGTGGTCTTTAATCACTGCGGGAGGGTCCATGTGCGTCATAATCAATTGTGTCCTGAACTCGCTTGAACTCGCAATGCCTGAAAACAGGTCCTATCGGCCAGCTATTGAGTTTTCCCTTGTGCTTTAACAAAAAATTTCCTCGTTCGCATTTATCTTTCTATCTGACATGTATGGTCCTGTGGGTCCAGGTATTTTTGTTCATTCTACGTGCCTGCCGCGTGGACGGATTTCTACAAGAAAAGTGATGAACTGAACCTCTTGCCAGTATACTGATCGCTCTGTCCAAACTAGAGAGCGCATACCATGCTACCCGCATAATAAATGGAACGCTAGACATCGTTGTCTGTTCAAACGCACCCTGTTCATTGCACGGTAATGCACTCGGTTCCTACGTTGTTACTATTTGACCTAAATTGGCAGATTATTCCCACCTTTCTCCTGCTTTTTTTCCTCGTGTCTCTATTGGAGTTTATGTAGATTGGGGCGAGATGGCCCAATTGGTTAGAGCGCCAATTTACTGACCGGAAGGTCCGTGGTTCGAACCCGACTTCCGCCACTCGACTTCCCCTGTCTAGGCTTGGGAAACCTGGCAGTATCCCAGCCCTCATGCTTCCTTCGGGCGGCATGGCAGTTAGGCACCGAAAGGGTGCTACAGCTGAACGAGATTCATGTCTGTCAGACACGCGGGTTGTTTGCTGTGGGAATAAGACAAAGTTTACCCGGAATTCTCAAGCTCAAATCAGGTTATGGTCTTGGTCTCGGTTCATTTCTTCTTGTAAAACTGTGCTGCACTTATGAAGCAGCCTTGGTTTCGCTCTTTACATGCCATATAGGAATTGTGACCGACGTTCATGTTTTGTGAGCCAGGCGATTCGTAAACAATGGTTTCGATCTCTTACTTTGTATCAGGTTTTTGTCCGCTTTCTCTTTATCACAGGAACTGGCCGATCGAAGGTAAAGCTTTGGTGGTTGTCCGAATTCGGGCTTGTTGGTTTACCGTCACTACATTACAGAGACTTACGTTGTTGTACCATCGTCTTTCGTCTTTAGTTGGTTCTCTCATTTGTGTTGTCTATTCATCACTGTTGCTAATTGTCTCTCAACTGACATCGTCCCTTGTTTCACGTCACTTTTTGTGCTTACGCTGAAACAACAGCGCATCGCTATTTCTTGACCACAAAGAATCTCGCGCGATGCACTGCCAAATTGTTGCCACTGTTGCTGTTTTCATGGGGATGCGATGCTTGCTTTTACATTTTTGTTGATTGTACTGTCTGTTTTACACCCAGTCGTCCACATTCATTGACAACCTCTGCTTCTCGACCTTCGGGGCGGTCAAGATGTATGTCCAGACCATCCAATGGTGTGGTAGACAAATGTGTTGAAAGTGGGTCGGAAGCATTTCGCTATAGCCCAACCAATGCAAGGCGTGGTCAACCAATGGAAGGGGCAGTTGCACTGATTCCAGCACCTAAACTGCCTCCAAGAGTGAGTTCAGGTTGACCTTTGTCTTCTGACTACTTACATATGACTATATATATATATTCCTTTTATGGATTGTGATGGATTCCCGAATGTCCCAATTTTTTCGCCAGAGGTTTCATTTCTAAAGATTTAATTTCCCATCCACTTTCGTTACAGGAGACAGATTTATCGATATGAGTAGTTCTAACCAGAATGAGTAATCGAAGGAGATGGTTTGAGTACATTCAGCAATAGTGGCTTTTTTGACCATCGTCATTCTTCAAAAAGAGCGCAATGTAGCTAATTAGTTGAGGCGTCAGTTCACGGACTGGAAAGTCCATGTTTCGAACCCAACCTCAGCATATCGATTACCCCTGTCTGGGGCTGGGCATCCTGACAGTATTCCAGTCCTCGTGCTTCCATCCGTTGGTATGGGAGCTAGGCACCGAAAGGGTGCTACAGCTGGCTGAATCATTCCTAACCTAACAGGCCATACGCGTCTGCTTTGAGCGCAGGTCCCCTTATGCGGTTTAGAATATCTTATTGCTCACTGCTACAAGAACTTCCGTTTCACGTCGTGCACCGTTTAAAACATGAACAGAAATCTGTTTAAAGTGGCCAATGAATGCTTTTAAAGGTTTTGTCCTGGTTGTGCTTCATAGAATGTATGTCTATTTCTAATAGTCCGTCGTATAATTCAGGAGAGTATGGTGATTCGCTGAACTACATTTCAAGGGCACTTCAGGTTCTTTTGGATTGCTTAGGATCTGAGTCCCGCGTGGCTTGGGCCTCAGTAAAGTAGGATTCTGATTTTTGCGCATCAGCTTATTCCAAGTGCAGTGGTTCCTCCATTTATATATCTGTTCTAAAGGACTGCTAGTGGAACGCCGACCGTTGTATATACAACTCTAACATTTTGATTGTACACCTACGGGGGATTTCCTAACAATACACAACACAAGTAAAATTGCCTTAAACCGAACCCAAAGCTAGTTGGATGTTTTTAGGGAGAACCATGCCCTCTGACTCACTTCGGTGAATCATGTATAACAATTGAAATGCCGTTCGGTTTACGGACGGTACTTTTTCGAAATAAAATTTGAGCTTGTGTCGTGGTCACGTACGGTTCCTGATTGTGTTACAACTACGGTTGGAGAGGTCTTAGCTGAGCTTTACCGCGAGTAGTGTTGGGTTGCTTGCAACGTAAAGTACCATCAGACTCAGCTAGAATCCAACTGCGTTCCCCAAAATTGAGGATCATGTGGCTGGCAAAGAGTTCGAGACAGGAGCTCCTGTTCGAGAGGTCAGTGGGCCCACTTTGCCCTTGAATCTTGATTGCTCTTGTCTGCTCTGCTTCAGTACTCATCTCCCCGCAAGAGGAAACATTCGTATCAGAGAGACCACTCTGGCAGCACGGAATTTTCCTCCCATGCATTTTCACCTGAGAAAACTAGACCCCCAAGGATCGAAGAGTAAATTCACTTCAGCACCCTAGTTAGTCATTAATCCATAAGAAGAAGCACCACATTACGTTGTTCTTCCATGTTTGCCAGTAGACTAGCACCCTTCAAAGCTGATGTCTTCAACAGTGCCGGAACAATTTTCTGCCAGATCGTTAGAGTTTTCTGCGATGTACCATAGTGGACTTCTTTGATATTTCGGTGTGAGGTATTTGAAGAGGAACATTATTAAGACCATGTCATGAATTGAGGCGAGTGGGGCTGGAACACAGTAAGGTGTAACATTTGGAAAACTGACGTTCTTCAACCTCCAAATAATCTTTCCTTTGCTACGTAAGGGCAAATCATCACAAGTCATCCCGTTTTACAGTTCTCATCCAGGCGCCGATGAGAGGGAGCACAAAAGAACATTCTCTCATTAACTTAGATGACGGACTGTTGGTCATTATTCGACTAATCATTGTGCAAATAGGCTATTGAAAACAATAGGGTACAATGTAGACAGTGAAGCGCGTGGTACTGTTTCATTAGTCAGCTTTGACTACGGGAAGCAATCTTATCGAGATGTCTTGGTGTCGTCGAAGTTTATGGTAACGCGATAGTCAGGCTGCAATATTTCCTGTGGCTGTCTTCTCCCTTGTAGCAGGTTGCGTGTTGCAAAGTACAGTCAGCTTGTCTTTTTCTGTGAACAGCTGTGACCAATGGGAATCCCAACCATAGCTCTCCATTAGGATTGGCTTCACAGTGAGAGCAAAACCTGATGTTTCAATGCCTTGCTACTACGAAAAGTTCATTCTAGAAGTTCTAATTCGAGAACAATAAAAATGAGAAGGAAATTACTTGGTGCTACCGTACCACAACTATCCTTCAGTTACAATCTATCTGGTGTCACCTTTGCGGCTTGTGGCTTTCAACTGGATTCTGGGAACAACCCAGTATTGTCCATATTCGGATTTGTTTTCGTACTACACTACAGAACAATAGGCAGTATCGGCAACCGGTGCTTTCGGTGTTTCCTGTTGAGATCAGCAACAAAAGAAGTAGATAAGAGCATTTATAGGTGGCTAGTTGTTATAAACTCGACCGACTCCTAGGTCATCCATTCGCATCAATCGGACGACGTCACTATCCTCATCATCCTTATCGTCATTACCACCGTCATGTTTGACGAAGTGCCAATGCCATGGATTCGAAGTCCTTTTACGAAGCCTCGCTAACCACTCGGAAGCTTGACAGGCTAGTCGCATCGACCTTACCTGAAGCTACCGTGTCTATTTTCATCACCTTATTCCCAAGAAAACTGTGTTTCGGTCGACACGACGACTTGTATACGGCTGACTCCCAGTCATATCGCCCTTACAGATTTTCATTAAAAGATTCCCGTCCACTTCAGACTCACAGGTAACGTTATCACATGGTTAGCAAGAACACAGTTGCACTAGCAAACTTAGTTTTGAAGACAAACCGGATGAGACAAGCACGTTTTAGGCGGTCCTGTCTCAAATGGTCAGGCACAGGCCATGTTTAACTAGCAGGAAGCACGGCATGACGAGAGTGGTAAATAAATTAGCATGCACTATCAAAGCGATATAGCCACGTCAAGTGTCACGTAAGTTGTCATCACTGTACGCTAAGCGGCATCAGCCATGCTGTTGTGCGATAGCTCATGATGTCCAGCTGTGATAGCCGACGAGGATAACTGGAGATCCTATACCATCAACTGTTGTGCCCGGAGAGGATGTTTCAAGTTTCTAATCACCAGCGTCGTCATGTGCGTAAAATAGGAGTTTTTGGGCAGCAACGTGACGCCTTCTTCGGAAATGCCCGTATGGCTTAGGCCAGCTAAACAAGCGGTGATGGCTCTGGTACTAATGCCTGATCCGCCTTGTTCAAACCAACAAGCAATGTATTATCTGTCCCGAGTAGACAGTAGCCTTACCGTATGGTCAACCAAATTGTGCCAGAAACGCATATGAGTAGGTTGCCATAGAATCATATATTTTTCTCTTTAACTGGATATAAAGGAATGCCACTAAGTTGCCTGGTTCTTCCTACACTGTGACGTAGGGTCATTCATGGGTATGTTCATGAGATTGCTCAGTTTCGGCGTAGAATGACAGTTCTGTGTGGGGTTAGCCTGACTATCGAAAACCGGATTGATTCTTTCCTGAAGATTTGCCATATAAATATTATGGGTCTCTTGTGTCATCATCACTGTCAGCTGTAAGAACCGCGTACTTGTCGCACAGTAGTTGTAGCTGCCACAGTTTCGTTCGTCGGTGTTTTGGGGAGGTGGTGGAGGTAGCTGCACATTGGAGCTGATAAATTGGTGCTTAAATACAGCACTGTCAGTGAACTTTTAAGTGGGGGAAGTGGGGAGGGTGCTGTGCATTGAAAGCAATAGCCTGGATGCACGAGCACCATTGAGGACGCAACTGGGCCATGTTTGACAGTGTCTCTAACTACTGATGTGTCCCGTCCCGGGGTCCTCATCCTCTTGTGGGTAATACATTGCCGATCATCTGATAGACCGAAAGTATTGGCTGCACTCACTACCAGTTAATTATGAGTTATCAACTAATCCATTGCCCAGTACATCAAAGTAACTGGTTATGTGAGGAGATTTCGTCCTGTAAAAAAAGCCGAAAGACACAGTACAACTGTTTCATCCTTATTGACAATCATGCTGATCAGCGACTTGTGGCCGAACGGTTAAGTGTTCAAAAATGCTATCAAAGAGGTCGCGTATCCGAAATTCCCTTGGGTCAATTGAGATTCGCACTGTTGATGATTTCTGTTAAGGATGGAACAGCTGCATAGGCTGGCTCCACTTAGAGCCTGAGATCCCCATTAAGCTTCTTAAGCTTGCGCTCCATGGTTCTTATTCTTGAAGCAGAATAGATTGGGGAGTTTTGGATATTTTTTTCACGGTTCTCTGTGATTCCACAGTCGAGGTCCTCGTATAAACTCTAGAGTGTCTGCTATCAACTTCTACCTTACTCACACCGCACCCACACAGGTATCTTCAAACTCTCCGAGTAGAATGCCGAAGGACCTTGCAGTTACTACGGTGTCTCAGGCTGAAGCAAGTGGGGCGAGTGAGTCAAACATTGGGACTGAAAAGTCTGAAAACTCTGAACCGAAGTTATCAATCAGTCCGAATTCACCGGTGCCCCCAGAAGTCACTAAGCCCGCATTAAACGAAACCTCCGAACAGATGAACTGTGGAGAGCAGGATCAGCTAATAGCAAGTGCCAACCAGGCAGGGACTACACCTTTACCCCCATACCAGTCAGGCATCACAGGTATTCGACCAATTAACCCGGCAGTCTATCGCCGCTTTATGGAACAACGCATGGAAGACGCAGGCCGAATTCAACGAGAGCGTAAGGAACGTCGACAGCGTTTGGAGACCGAAATGGCTAAAGTTGGCCTGGATGAAACAGCCCGTGCGCAAATGCGCTGTTTGTTACGGAAGAAAGAGTCGAACTACATGCGTATGCAACGTGCCAAAATGGATCAGTCCATGTTCCAGCGCATTAAAAATCTGGGTGGGTTTACTACTTTGGGCCATATAGTGTTCACACGTTCAGCCTGGGCTAGCCTGTTCAAACCATCCGTATTTCTGGTGTGTGCATGTTTTTTCTGTTTTTCTTGTTCAGCACCATTTGAACTATTTTGCCGCCATGACATCTTCTGTCCACCACCCCCACCTCTACAACATTCCATTCTTTATTCCTACTTGCAGCTATGTTTGTATGTGTGTTTGTCTCACTGTGGAATTCGCATTTTTCGGGAACTCCAGCACGGCCGACTTGCATGTTTGTGCGGCTGTATCACTTGCCCCAGTACATTGCGTTTCAACAACAGGCATCGGCTGGTCAGGCGGGGCGATCGATTGGTCGAGGGTCTCCGTTACACCAATCAACCATCTGTCTCTTAACCCTCCTGTGCATGTTTGCACAATACTGGCGCACACATACACATGTCGTTACGGCACTTGAGGGTGATTCGGATCTGGTCGTTAAGTCCCAGCAGCAGTAGCAGTAGTATCAACAACATCATCTACGACCGACTGCTACAAGCATGCATTCCTCCGTCAGCCCAAAAGGTGGATAGTGGTTACAACGCGCGATGCCCCTGGGTTACTAGGCGTTTCATCCCATTTCGTCCTCGTCTTTTATGTGTTTGTATGCCTGTCTTTCTGCTTGGTGAATGAGGTTTGTGTACAACGGGGCAGTCGCGGTATGTACGGGAATTTTGTGTGACAGCCTCGTTCGAACCGGACCAGATTGGCTTCTAACCTTGCGCTCGCTAAAGAAACCTTCATCAGCATTTAGTTTAGCGTATCTGTGCTTTTAAATTTATCCGTTTACTTACGTTATTTTCCGATTCCCGTTAGAAATTGTTTGCAGTACATTGCCACCATGGCAGTTTGGCTTATTTCTCAATAAAACGCTAAGGCTTTTCATTCAGATACCAACTACTTGGCTGTTTGTCACTCACAGAGGTGGATATGAATGAAAGGATCGTGATTTATGTTGCTAATATCAATGTGATTTTGATTAAATGCGTTGCGTTTGATTACTACATTCGGCGGTAGAAGCATCGGATGGTTTCATTTAATATACCCTTTCTGTATTCGTCACTATTTTCACTATGGACTAACGGTTAACAGCGCCTGATCTCTTCCAACCCTTTCAAACCCGTTTCGGAAATGTCTTGTCTGTCTGGTGTTCCTGCTAACTTTCGCTAGATAGGCATCACTACGGGTGAGCTCGAGGCAGCTCAGTGTGGTTGGGACGCGAACTTGTTGACTGGGTGGTCCTTAGTCCGAATCGAAAGCCAGCATCTCGAGTGCTCCTGTCTATGCCTAGGCAACCTACCACCATCTCAGCCCTCGTGCGTCCTTCGGATGGCATGTCACTTATGTACTCAAAGAATGTCACAGCTGAACGATCATTATCGTCATGGCCGGGACTGCTGTTAACATCTGAATGCAGTGTTCAACTCCGTGGTACAACCGTGTGAATCACGTCAGCGTGGAAGGCAGAATGTATGTCCTTTTGGACTGTGCCTAACTCTCCTGCTTACTTGGTTTTTTGAAGTCACAATCGAGAGAAACGCTGTGCTCGTTTCACCACAATTTTAGGTCAATGCGAAGGGTGCGTAAAGCCTGAGTTTTTTTCACTGTAAGGTTCAGAGATAGCGAACATAATGAGAATGGAAAGCATCGTATGTAAGGCGATTGACCACAACTTTTTAACACAAAATATGGAGCACAGATGGACGTGAACCTCGCTGGTCTCAGGTGGAAAAATCTCGGGATACCTATTCGCCCTTCAGTGTCTAAATATTGCTCTCTTTAATGTCGAAAGGTTGCGATAGGAACTAAGAATAGAGGTAAACATATCTGAAATCAATGCGAACAAACCACGTGTATCATTCGTTCTTCAGATTTATACTTTGTTTTCAAAACCACAATTTACTTTCGCGAAGCTATGGCCATTGTAATATATGGCGTTCAGGTTTCTAACTTAGGTGGTCTTTACTTCCCGGTAGTTGTCTCGATGGAGAATCATTTCAAGAGGGTACTGTAAACATGGGCCATCGGGTCTTTCTTATTTACTACTTTTCCATGTTTGACCTAGCATTATTCGTCCTTTCCAGATGGAGGACATGTTTTTTCATTCAACAGGTTGTAGAACGCTACTGTTTCATTTTAAAATAGCCTTGGTTGCGTGTCTTTTTCTAAGAATAGAGGTAAACATATCTGAAATCAATGCGAACAAACCACGTGTATCATTTGTTCTTCAGATTTATACTTTGTTTTCAAAACCACAATTTACTTTCGCGAAGCTATGGCCATTGTAATATATGGCGTTCAGGTTTCTAACTTAGGTGGTCTTTACTTCCCGGTAGTTGTCTCGATGGAGAATCATTTCAAGAGGGTACTGTAAACATGGGCCATCGGGTCTTTCTTATTTACTACTTTTCCATGTTTGACCTAGCATTATTCGTCCTTTCCAGATGGAGGACATGTTTTTTCATTCAACAGGTTGTAGAACGCTACTGTTTCATTTTAAAATAGCCTTGGTTGCGTGTCTTTTTCTGCCCCTTACGGTTTCTGTTTTTTTCTCACTTAGGAGGTGAACAGTGAGTTGGCTCGGGCAAAGCCTTTAGTTCTGTTTAAGCAAAGATACTTATTTTTGGCCACAGCTTTCGGTAGGGATTAAATCATCTCTTTGCGGTTTACATGGACGGAGTTGTGGAATTATCTGAGAGAATTTTAGGCATGACTCATTCTGACCATTGGTCGACTTGTTTGGACAACCACTTTACTACCAGTGTATGGTCAGAATATATTTGAATAGCCACCAGTCCTGATGATTAGTTTGATAACCCCCATCCCCACTAGTTTGTATATTCTCCATACAGGTGCACACAAATAACCTCTTTATTCATACATTTCCAGGTGTTGGGGCGTTCGGCAAAGTCTGGCTTGTTCGAAAACAAGATAACAGACAGCTGTACGCAATGAAATTGCTCAACAAAAGGGATGTGGTTGAACGTCGTCAACTGGCTCACGTACGCGCTGAACGGGATATCCTCGCTGAGGCAGACAATGAATGGGTTGTGAAATTGTTCTTCTCTTTCCAGGATTCTGAAGCCCTATATTTAGTCATGGAATACATTCCGGGTAAGAATGCGGTCCGGACAACAGAACCCTTTACTGTTCTGTTGATTCGGTACCATCTGATCTTTTTCGGTTGTGATCAGCAGAATCCATTAATAAGTAGCACACCTGAATGCTAGACATTTTTCGATGATACCACACACATAAAATTTAATTGAAAGATTACCTTGCGTGGCCTTTACGGGGCTCCAAGATGTTTTCATTTTCAGTGCAATGTCAGTGTCGTACTCTTTATTTGCCAGGCTCGTGTGGGTTAAATCTGATGTTTCTGCGGTACATATTGTGAGTCGCACTTCGGTCAGAGAAATGGCACTCAAATTCTCGATGGTTTTGCTTTTTCACTGTTAAACTTTATATCAGAGACTATTTGAGACGAAGCCTTTTTTGGAATACGCTCTGAAGACCGTATTTTTAGGTTTGAGGAGTTTTGGGAATAGTGATACTTGATGTTTTATGCTATTACTTTTGGAGCTGGCTACCAGCCGACCGGAGACGGAATCTATTCCCTTCAATGCTACCCTGACTTATGTTGTTCCTACGGATGGACTTATAGGTAGGATTTTTATGATGCCTTTATAAGGATCTTCTTCTTTGTCCCGAAGTGAACGCGGACAACTAGAACACCGGTAACCAGCGTGGTAGGATATGAACGGTGGAGTATCATAGATGAGAATGTCTTGACCCTCGTGCTCTAGAGTGCCCCCTGTTTGTTTTGGCTCACTTCGTTTTTAATTGGTCATTCTTGAGAGGATGTGCAGATAAAAATTTTTGGACGAGAAACATGTGCGGGATTGTTAAAGTCTTTGTTGTCAGCGTCTCGTTATTAGTTTCTGAAGCAATTCGTGCTAAGAACCGTCTTAAGGACCTGTGCACTGATGCTCGTGCGGTACGGTTACCTACTGGGAGGAAACTTCGACCACTTTCCTGGGGAATAACATGTGATCCATGTATGTGGTGGGTCGGTCATCACATTTTATTTTTAGGAATAGTTAAACCGAAGGCTGACAGCGACGATGGGATTTTCCTTTTGCCGCATGACTATTTTCATCTGGTTAGGCTCACCTACTTATAAGTAGTCAGATGTTTAATTGAACCGCAAGCTGTCAGTCGCCCACCTGGTGAGGTAAGCTTTCTAAACCTACGCACTTAGTCTCATTTTATTTCACTTTTCATTCCCATTGTGAACAGTAGTGTACTCAGGAAGGAAATGTTACTCACAGCTTTTGCATTATTTATGTAAATCACGTGAAGAACTATTCTGTCCGTTCATCCATCAGGTGGTGACATGATGTCCCTGTTGATAAAGAAGGGTATTTTCGAAGAACCACTGGCCCGTTTCTACATTGCCGAGCTGACTTTGGCACTTGAAAGTGTACATGGAATGGGATTCGTTCATCGGTGAGTTTGCTGATTTCCAGGCAGCCTCCGAATAGCCAACAGTTTGCAATGCTGATCAGCGCATGCATAACATGATTACTCCGTGTTTTATTGGATCGCATGCGAGACTGTTTTTTGAGAGGTGGGTTGATTCCATTTATTCAGGATAGGGTGTTATCTTTATTTGTCCAGGCTCATGCTTTCAGTCATCCTCAAGGTAACTAGCGCTCTTAAGAAATGCGGAAGGTTGTTCACTTTTATCTGGAGATTGGGGACCTTCATACTACAGTGATCCACACCAAAAGCGACGGCTACGGGGTAGAGAATTTTTATCATACGTATCGTGCATCTCGTTGTATCTCACTCGGAATCTGTCCAAAGGAGTGGTTTTCCGTAAAAGTTTCACCGCATGCAGTTTGTGATTTCGTAGGCGTTGGGGCTTCAGGTTGACGAGGGCTTTTTTGGTACTTATGGTGAATGAACAGTTACATGGGCTCCATGTTTGTCTGCGTCACCTTTGGTGAGCTTTTGCCGTGTTTGTACTTATTTCCGTGAATTCCATTGTCGTCTTTTTTATTTATCAGTGAAAAGCTAGGAGAATCCCAAGGTGCTCGAAGCGACATGTGCATGACCCCTCTCAACGTAAAACGATAATGAGTATCAGACTCTCTAAACCTGTGTAATATGTCATTTGTTTCTTTGAACTACTTGGTTCTAGTGACATAAAGCCGGACAATATCCTCATCACACGAGATGGACACATCAAACTGACAGACTTTGGATTGTGTACTGGATTTCGATGGACACATAGCTCAAAATACTGGGATATGGATTTTGGCATTCCATCAACCACACAATCGCACCGCGCGAGGGATAAACTGGGTACCGACACCAGCAAAATACAAAACCCATCCGGTGCATACAGGCAGTCTGGAGCTCATCTGCCGGGGAATCGCCATCAAGCTGGTGAGGCAAATGACGAGAGCGACGAGGCACAAAATGAAGATGGGGCAGCGGAACGCGGAGAAAGACTTGGAAAGTTGTTCAGAGGGCCTGCCGCGCGACGGTTTTCAGCAAACGTAGTCAGATGTAAGCAACGAACCCTTGATCGGATTCGAAGTAATACTCCCAATCGCCGCTGTGCTCAGTCGCTGGTTGGTACTCCAAACTATATTGCACCGGAAATTTTACGAAGACAAGGTATGCTACATGTGTGCTTGGTCAGTGTCAGTTTAAGCTTTTTTTCGATGAATTCTCTCACAACTCGTTCTATAAAATTACTTGTAAAAACCCAGATTTTTTTGAAAACACTTCACCCATGCTATTTTTTGGTTATCCGTTGCCGACCAGTTTCGTGTTCCGTCTACATGTTGTTTCTAGATTATGGGCAGTCATGTGACTGGTGGTCTGTTGGTGTTATTCTATACGAGATGTTGGTTGGGCAACCTCCATTTTTGGCTCAGACTGCCACCGATACACAGATTCGCGTGATCCACTGGTACAAATATCTAACAATCCCTGGGGAACCTCGGTTACGACCGGAGGCCAGTTCGCTGATTCGACAGCTGTTGCGTGACCCGGCAGACCGACTGGCTGATCCGACGGCGATCAAGGCGCATCCTTTCTTCGCCCCAATCTTATGGGACACAATAACCTCACAGAAGGCCCCATATATACCAACGGTAAGTTATATATTACCACGGTGGTGCATGGCCGCAACAGAATCTTTCCCATATCTAACCGGCTGTTTGTAACAAAAGTCCTTCCAGTTGGATTTTGATTTTGTCCGGGATTGTTGAGCAAACTCTCTGTCCTCATGATGCGCGAATGGTACCTGAAACATCCATTACCGTAAATGGAAACCAATGATCTCATAATCCTTCACCAGCTAACTCATGGTGGCACGATTCCCTGGCTGTTCTTCGTGGTACACCTCCATGTGAAAAAAACAATTAACTTGTCCTTAGACTCTTTTGGATTCATGTGTCCACTTCACTGAGTTATGCATGGCATTCGTAGTCAGGCTGCCCCAAGTAGTCCCTAACCCAGTCACTTTTAGAGCTGATGACCAGTATTTATTTCATCTGTACGACCATCAGTTTCTGCTCTGTGTTGAATTTGCATTGATATCGTATTGATACTGAATCGCCGTGTATAATAGCTCAGCTTAACGCTTGGACGATTCATGTATAAAAATATGAATTGCGCCAAATGATGACGCAGGATCTTTGTCGCTTTTACATTTCGGTCGCGTTTCCGAGTGTGCACTAATCATTACATTTATACTACACTTTCCTTAGCCTGTCCTATCAACCGCCATGGGTGACTAATCTTAGGTTGATTTATCTCGATTATCGGTTTGTCGGACGCCACATGATCATTTTTTTTAATCTTGGATCGAATACATCAATAAGCTGCCCATTATGTGGCCTGGCTTACGGAGTGCTTGGTACTCAATGTTTATTATGTAACGTATGCACATGTTGTTATAAGGATTGCTGTTGGGCTGTGAATGTTCAAGTTATATTCCGCAGTTTTCTGTTGTATCTGTACGTCAAGATATGTTGTACCAATGCTAAAAACTTACACACCACTGACATTCGATTGATTGGCGTGCGGCTGACTCTTAACACCCCACTTCATAGATATCCGAGTGAGACTATCAGTTTCTTTCATCACTTGTTCGCGGGTCCATCAGCTCTTATCCTGTCTCATACATCCGTCCACTCCCAAACAGACGCAAGTGTTCCGGCGGCCCTTTCCGATTTCCCGCTTATTTTCTGCACCACTGGTTGGTGGAGTATGCGCTTGTGCCCACTTCCCTGCTTCTTTTTCTACCAGATTATTTCCAAATGCTCCTACCTCCCCGTTAGCTCTTATTCCGTTCTCCTGTCACCCAAATGCTAACTTTTGTACTACGCACTGAATTGAACTATAGAGAAAGATCAGATCCTGGTCTGCAACCCTCTGTAAAATTAGACAGTTACGTAAAACCACGCATGGAAAGACGAATCACGTGGTGGATTTAAGGGAATTACTGGAGCGTGTACGAGTTTTTGAATGCAACAGTTGGTATTGACTTCCAGAAACGGACCTTCCGGATGAAACGTTGATATAACTCAGCACCGACATCAGTACACCGATGTAGAATACTGGCACTTAATTGTCACACAACCATGAGAAGAAAACATGATAGTATACATTTGAGGAAGACCTGGTGGGGATTTGATGGAAATCCTCTGTTTCCGTAGAGAGCGGTCAAGGATAAGGTGCCTAAGTTCGTCTAGAAAGTGGCAGCTTAAGCGCCACTTAGTTTAAATGACACATCTTGTTGGACTCCCGTCCAACTTCAAGAAGAATTAAGTGTGCCCCAACCAAAAGTGCGTGTCCATCACACATCACTAAGTCCTATTGTAGACGTCTTATTTTCGCGCAGACCTAATCCTCAGTTTAAAAACCGTATACTACTTTGTATGTAGTCTCCGACTGCTTTAACTTGGATGAACCTATCTTGTCATCCGAGATCGCATGTGGAAGGCTTTGTGCTTTCAATCTATTCCATTTATCTGTTTTCATGGAGGGTCTGAAAACCACAAACGACCCTCTGCACTGGCCAGCCGCCTTATGTGTGTTGTGAATTGCTGACGTTAGTATGCAATTTTACCAGTGGATTATCAGGAGTCGAGTGGAAACGATTGTGTATAACAGCCACAAGTTTAGTGAATCAGACTCCTTATAGTGTGGGTTTCACTGTTTCGTTAATTTGTGTTGTCGACCTCTCAAAGAAACATCTACCCTCTAAGGTCTCTAAAAGGTTCCCCATATTCATCGCAATGGAATTCTTTTGGCCTCATATATATAGATCTGTGTCCATTTCGTAACCGCGTGTCCTGTTTATGACCTTGTTTTTTCCCTATTTCTCTGATTAGATCAAGGATGAACTGGACACCTCAAACTTCGATGCTGTAGAAGACGACCGACCGCAAATTAGTAACGAGAATCGTGTGAACAATGGCTCGGGTCCATTCAGCACACCACCACCTTTTCCAAACTTCACTTTTAAACGATTCTTTGATCGCGATCCCACATCTTTGCAGACACCTTGACTCACACAGCCATATTCTGAAAAAAAAACTCGAAGCACCTTTAAACACCAACTGTCTTTCTGTGCACGCAGACTTTTTCATATCGCATTCATGAAAGGAGACTTGCTATAGGCCTCCTTAGCCGTCCACATTCACTTACGTCATTTGTAGTCTGTTTCGTTCTTAGAACCACTATCTCTCAATCTAGTAAAAATTTCCCGGTGCGTATGTGTGGTTGTATGTGTTCATATATTATCGTTGATGACGCTATGCGCACCAGAATGGGTTTCTCTTTGATTCCATTCGTATGATGAACCGTTCTCAGCCGGTTGCTGTGTTCGTGCAAAGCGCGTGAAGTTTACGTCGTGTGTGACAAACCTCACTCCTGGTGAGCTGCCTCTTCGTAGCTGGATTGACAGCAGAAACGAAACGTTCACCACTGAACTCACATTGTACAGATGAATTGTTCGACTAGGTGAAAAATATCCTTATTTATCCTTTTCTTGCGTCTTTTTTATTTTTGCAGCTCACCGTCCTCCGTCGATCTTGTTGGGCTCTACAACTGTTGTGATTTATTAAGGCATTTGGGCAGACAGGTGTAATGGTTACTGGGTGTATGTTTTAGTGCGATAGCATAGGTCTTTGGTCTTTATCTTCGATAGCAATAGGAGTACAGTACTGTCGAAAAGCATCCAAAGGGTATATATATATATCATGTAGTGTTGGTTGGTTGGGTATTCCTTTGGAACCCTTCTTACTTGAAATTTTTTGTTAGATCTAAGAGGTTGGCAGCGCTAAAACAAGAAAACATGATTGCGGGCGAGATGGTCCAAGTGGTTAGAGCGCGAATTCACTGGCTGGAAGGTCCGTGATTCGAACCCGACCTCTGCCTCTCGATTTCCCTTATCTAGTCTTGGGCAACTTGGTATTATCCCAGCCCTCGTGCAACCTTCGGGTGGCGTGGCATAATTGTGGTTCTTACGATTGCAATGGACATTCTTCTGTTGGTTATGGTTTAGCTTCGTTGCGCGTATTACTTGATGAACAACGTCAGCTAAAGTGAATTTTGAGAAAAGCTCCCTTAGGTCTGCTGGCGAAGACTCATGTCGTTCACCATGGTCTTGTTTAATTTGCAACAGCTGGATTCACAGTACAACCAACGTCTTAAGTCCGTTAGTGCTGCAGCGTGCAAGCCTAAACATGTGCTTCGTAGAACGCTGCAATTCATAGGGTGAAAGAAGCGGTCTTCGATATTCCGTGCATTTTGAGGAGAGATGTTGCTGGTCAAAACTCTTACTCTGAATTGTATTTCTTACAAAGTTACGGGACAAATGCTCGGACCGTCCGCTTTGATATTGTTCTGGGCTTGCGTTGTGATAGATTTATTAACTATTCAATGATCTGTTCCTGCAGTTGTATGGGTAAAGGTTGAGTAATTTATCGATCAGTTAATGCCCAAGTGGTCGATCCGGTTTTAGTTCTCTTTGTCTGATTACCATTCGTGTTGATCCCCGATTAGCTTCTGTGATTGCCCAGGGCCTGGCCTCCGTATGCGATCGGCTTATTTTAATTGTAAGTGATGAAATTCCCGTTGTGAAACCATTTTCGTTGCACAGGAAATATCCAGCTTGTGATGACCTCGAGTTTGTAATTGTAGTTTGTAGCTAAGGCTACTTATGCTATCAGACAGGCTATTATCCCAACCCAGGTAATTCTAGAACCAAGATAGTGTTTCAAAATGCATGATAGATGTTTCTCGTTGGTCAGGTGACTGTTCATATGCAATTATCTTGCAAACCTCTTGTAACCAAACAAGGTGACATCAGCGCGCCTTGTTAATGTCTCCACGTTTGGTGATAACGTTTTCAAGCTAATTGCCAAGTTTGGCAAACAAATCAATAGCCACCTGACCAACAACTAATAAGTGCGCCTGAGCTACCAATATTTCGGTTTGAGGTTGGTCTGATTATTGACTAGCCGTGACCAGAAAGCTGTCCTACACAGATCGTCGTTTCGCTTAATTCACGCGCGTCGGGTGTGAATTGCCAGGGATGCCGTACAACGCCGTTCTGCGCGTTCCGAAAATCTTGTTCGGACTGGCTGAGCCTGTTCGGACAAGACCATTTGATTATGTACTGAGGCGTGCATAGCAGTGGCTGACGTAGAGAGCGAGTATAACTCTTGTGTTGTTCTGCATGCACTCTGATTTTTGTTAGCCTCTTCTGCTTCACAGATAATTGGTCGAATTTTATTGTATCGGAAACCACCTTACTCCGATTACTTTTCATGTATGAAGTCACGTCCGAGCGGAGCAAATATCCGCTCCGACAAAGTCTCAAGAGCCCATGAAAGGATACCGGTTCGAAACAACTACCCAGTAGAGAGACAACAACCCTAAAACAACCTTTCTATCAACTGCACAAACCCCCTTTCATCAATAGACTTCCGAAGGGATACGTCCCGTTCTGATCAGCTTCAACTCATGTTTTTCAGGATAGAAGAGCAGTAAGGGCAACGTCGTCCCAGGTGATCAGACCGACCGTGTAATGTGGGGTTTGAGGGGTGTTGTGGGGACCACAACGTTGTATGCAAAGCAAAGTGAACAGCTATGATGAGGCACAGTTCAAAGTAAAAGATTTATTCGTTTCTGCTTCAAAATGTGTCTCAGCAGCAAAACTAGATGACGATTCAACCATATTGGTTCAACAAATTGGCTCCTGGGGAGAGCTTGATTTACACGGTGTCAGACTCCGTTAGATTGAGTTTTCGCATAGGTTCTTCCCTTCAGCTAGTTCCTGTTACCTAGCTTCTATGATGGTTCTAAAGCTCTAGGACAAAACGTTTGTCTTGCTACGGAATGCTCGACATAATACTGACTGTCCAAGTGACGCCCGAGTAGACTCTTTGGGTGTCGTGGAACCGATCTAGTTTGACTTGATCCATAGCGGATCCGTGTTGTGGAAGACATCGTCTGTGCTACACCTTTCGCCAGACCTTTCGATACTGGAGGTAACACGCCGTTCGGGATTGCTCAATACAATTTTGGAAGGAAAATTCCAGAAGAGCTTCGATGGCAAATGGATTGCTGTGAAGGCGCCTCCCGAGTTCGAAACTACGCAAGCAACTTGCGCATTTTGCTGATCACCTCTCCAATGTTATGGATGACTGAATACGCATCACTTCACTCGAAACGTATGCCAATCAGCAAGATATAGATCAGGCCAAAATGTCCACGGGCTTTCGGTATCAGGCTCTGTCTGGCTAATGCTAAAGATGGATCAGCCCGGCTTTGCCGGGTTTTTCGCTTTTATTGCTCCGAACAGTTATCGATCGCGCTGTCTATCTGCCTTTGGCTGCTAACAACTTCCCCTGCTCACTGCCTTCATACTGGTTTAACCGATGCAGAGTTTTGCAAGTGACGGTTTTTGTCCTTTCCTTTGTGTCACTATTCGGCAACACCATAGGATACAACCGTCGTGCAATTACAACTTGAAGGATCTCTGGAAACGAAGGATACCATTCATGGAACGCCAGTGGTCACTGTTCGTCAGTTTTCTTGTGGCTTCATCTAATACTGCATCATGTTGGCTAAATCATGTGCTTCGACTCTTCCCTCCTTATCGTAGTCTCCCGTTATGTTGCTCGCACCATCACGTGATGGGATGTGTAACAATCAAAACTTTGAAATAATGCACATCCTTTCATTCCTTGTGTACACGCTGTCTTGGTCTTCTTTTCTATTAAGTAAACGGGAATAAGACGGTTGATTTTTCGTGATTTCTGTTAACTTTGAACATTCTCCCACAAACTCATCAATGAAAATGTTAAACTCCGAAAATGGCAGCCGAAGTCAGTTTGCGTGCAGTTTTTCTGTTTCATTGTAGACTTGTGGATGAGAAAGCAACAAGTCTTAACTTATTGTCCACCATTCGCTGGAGGATAGCCGCTCCCACGCTCCAACAGCGGGTTATACTACACCATGAATGTTTAAATGCAGTTTCTCTCATATGGGTATTACGTCCTACAAGAATCTACCTCCAAGCCATATCATTGTTTAATAACGTATACAAATGTGATAACATTGAGCATGTGTGGAGTTGAAAAAGGCGATAACGAGAAAGCATTTCTAAGGACGACCTAAGCGTAGCCTCGTTTCGGGGTTACGGCGCCGTGATCATAACCTTTGTCTTGTCATCCTGTACGTGCTAACCGTTAGCTTTCCTTCAAGGAGATATAACGAAGACCCCTCTTCTGTTTTTCCATTGTCTCGGTCACTCTTGATTCCGTTCATCAGCAGTCGAATTTTGGAACTGGTCTATCTCGACCCGTCCGGATAGAATGATATCATCAAGAATAAGTGCAAAGAAACGGAAGCTGCCCTGCCAACTTTTCAATAATCCCCTGAAAATTTGCTGGATCTGGTTTGATTCCAAGTACCTGACGAATGTATTAGAGGCATCTAACGTCAGTGATTATAGCAATAAAAGATGAACGACTGGTGGACTTCAATTTGAGAATGTGCATGACTGAATCCAATCTCGCTGAACACATCCTGTCTGCAAGACTGGTATATGGGGCATCGGTATGTGGCAGTGGGAACCTGAAATCAGCTTCTGGCTTCCACATATACGGATCGTTGTTGATTTCGAAACAGGAACAATCGAAATACCCCATTGAGAGTGTTAACCAAGAGGAATCCTGCTCCTACAATCAGCTTGATTCTTTTTCCATTTGTCGTAGCATAGAGTAAGTATTGTACGGGCCTTTAAGAATAAAGGTTGAGAACTAGGATTCAAAGCGACGTTTGCTTGAAGTCCTTATAAGATTCCGAGTTCGTTATCGAATATATCCGAGTAATTCTAAAACACATCATCCACCTCTGCATCGTGTGTAACTGGTCTCATTGCAAAAAGTTTCGGAAGAGTCTTCAAACAGCCGCGACTATGAATGCCAGGACGATTTGTTTCTACTGCCTAGGCTGATAGGATATGTAGTGATGTATTGGGGAATCCCTTCACAGTTCTTCAAAGCATCCTTCGAAAAAGGTCATTAAAACCTATACAATGGTTTTAGAGCTTCAGACTAATGCACCTAAGTAACGGTGTGTATTATTAGTAAAGCGTATGAGTATTCTATGGCTTGGTGTTCCGCCTCAGCAGCTGGTGGAAGGTGAAGTCGATTACGGAACTTGTGGAACTGCTTTGCAAGGTTCTTTAACATTGCGTAATTGTCAATGAATATGCGGGAAAAGCAAGAGGACGCGCGTTCACTTTAAAATAAATATGTGCATCTGAGATGTCTAATGACTTGTAACTACTTAGTTCTTGCTTGCTAATAAGTGGCTTCGCAGCGAATGGCTCCCCTCCTTTAACCAATATCTTGGGGATCGAACGACACATAATCAGACAGTAAGTTCATCGAATTTTGTTGAACACTTATTGTGGATTTGCCTATTGGTATACAAATCTCGGACTAGTTTTCA